TCTCATTCCTTATTTCCTTTATTTCCCGATTGTAATTGAGTCAGAACGAGTTATTTTTTTGTTATGTAATTAAAATAAAATAATAATAATAATATTATTATTATTATGAAACCTATAAATACCAATTAAAATTAAATTAAATCTTTAACAATCTCATTCCTTATTTCCTTTATTTCCCGATTGTACTATAGATACGATGACTGATATTTTCATTAGTATCTTGTACAAACAACATTCGTGCTTAACTTTATGTTAAAGTGGCCCAGCGGTGGTACTGGCCAAATCTTTTTTAAAAACTCACATAATTACTATGTTAATTTTTTTAATATATCAAATAATAAATTATGTAATATAAAATAACCCTCAAATCATTTCATTTTTAAAATTTTCTCGATTTATTTTAAATTTTAAATTTAAAATATATCTAACATAAAATTTTAATTTTTTAATCACTAAAACATCAATAAAGTATTACAGTTTTAACTTTTCTACACCTTATCTGAAAAATGACGTGATAGTACTAACCAAATGAAATGGTACAAAGAGTTTAAAGATATTCTTTATCAGTGAATTGTGGAAAGAAAGGTTTAGTTTAGGGGCCAATTGACCGTCCGTCGCCCACATCCTCAGGCTCTGACCCATTTTGCTCTCTCAGACTGAGAAAGCTGGAAAGAAGCTACTTTCTTATCTATTTTGTGTTTTCCCCCTTATGGGTGGAAAACGAAAGTAATAAAAAGGGAAGAAAAGATATTAGAGCTTTGATTAGTTTGAATGATGAAAAGGACCCACGCTAAGTCTGTAATCAAGAGAGATGGGAACCCATAGATTGAGAGATAATAATAATTAAACAGAAAATTGTGCCAACTCATTTTCAAGCCATATTGTTTAAGGAAAAAGGAAGGAATTTTGAAGCTATTCAACAACTAGGAGCCTGGTATTTGGACAAGGAAAACATTTTCGCATGTCTTACTTCATGGAACCTGTTTTATACAATCAAAAACATCTGAATTCGTCTTCATCATGCACCAATTTCAGAAATCAAGTCCTGCACAGGGTACATGTCCTAATCTAACATCAATCACTGAGCGGGGAAGACAGCAACATATTTTCTTGTTACAGCATGTGCTTTTACTACAACTACAGGCAGGGAACCAGATCTGGAACATGAGGAAGGGTGACATGTCCCTTAACAGAGAAAAGTATAAAACCCAAGAGTGCAAGTAAAACCCATGTGAAGTGAAGCTGAAACTTGCACGTTCAGGTATAAAGTTTTGTTTTTGTTTTTGTTTTTGTTTTTCCATAATGGTGTTGTGTGGTTGCAATTATATTGATTGCACAATTTAAATCAGTAATTGAGAACCAACCTCCTAAACTTTTTTTTTTCATTTTTACCAAAAACGTTTTTTTTTTTTTTTTCAATCCAAATCCCAACTTGAGTTTTGAAAGTATTTACATACTTTTATTGAATAAGATTCAATAATGGAATTTATATATTACAATATAAACTGCAAATTATAAGTATAACTTATTTTATAAAATTTTTAAAAATATTTTAAATAAAATATTATAAAATAAATTTTTAAAATACTTTTAAATACAATATTATAAAAATAAATTTATTAAAAATATTTTAATAAATTTATAAAATAAATTATATTTTTAATAAATAATTTATTTAATAAAATATTTATTTATTTATTAATAATATTTTAGTACTTCTATACTTTTTTTGTTTATTCCGAAAAGGCAACCATAAAAGATGGGTACCTAATTTTACAAACTGCGCCGCTGGTACAGTGACGTTGTAGTGATGATCACTTATTTATTTATTTATTAAGATAATTAAAATTATATTTAATTTAATTAATATTTATAAATTTTTAAATAAATAATTGTAATATTATAAAAATATTAATTTATAAATTAATTTTGATATTTAAATAATAAATATCAACAATTTAATGATTTGATTCTCTAACAAAGATATGTTTTGTAATTTAGTTTATAATTAAAGTTTTAAGGTTAGTATTTAAAAAATAATAATGTTTTTGAATATATCATATCGAAGTGAAAATACAAATTTTAAGATGCTAAGGTATACGTCAGTCTCCAAATGTGCAAAAAATTAACCCATAACATCTGAACTGCAAATATTAAAAACATAAAAATATCAAACATTATATCAATTAGTAATTATTATTAATAATCAAATCAAATCAAATTAATATTTTTAACAGATAAATTAGTAGTCATGATCACCTATAGTGATTGTTTTCACCGAAACAGCGGCTGAGGATTCCATGCTGCATTTTTATGTATAGTTTTCGCTACATCGAAATTGAAAGTTTGAAACCATGACAATTTTTTAAGGTTTATATACAGTACAAACTTGAGGGGAAGAAGCAGAGGGAACCGTTCTCCTAGATTTCGATTCCCCTTTGATACAATTTGTAATACTTAAAGAAGTTCCAAATCTGTTCAAAATCCCAACAAAAAGCAGGAAAAACAAAAAAACTAGAGCTGTGAAGGAAATTCTAAGATCAAAATGTAGAAAATTAACATCCCCTAGAAACCCCCTAGTAACCCCACAACCTTACCAAGGACTACAATGCAGATCATCAATGGCGGATTGGACATGAAATTGTTCCACCCTAGAGAAAAATTACCAGGTGGAAACTTTGACCAAATTGAAGCTGAAACCATCAACGCCAAGAAGAAACGGTGAGAAGAGGCACCTCATTCCATGCTAGAGACAGAAACCCAGGTTGAGATTCAATCAGTGAATACAAAGACCTGTAATTGTAGTTCCATAGAAGGATCTTGGCTTGACTGATTGCGTAATGGCTGAGGGGTACTGATTCGAAACCAGAATTTTCCATTAAGAGCTTCCATTGTTCTCTATCCTCCATGCGTTCCCTTCTGGTTTCCGGTTCCTCTGGTCCAATTACACCGGCGATTCTGCGGCCAAGCAATAGTCTTTCCACTTGGAGTCTCTCCGGTGAGTCACGAGTCAAGTTCGGTTCTAGTGATTCAAAGATGGCAGAATAGTACCGCAAGGCGTTCTTGAATCGGTTGAAGAATCCAACCCGGTTCAGACCCGCTTCGTGCTCACCCAACGTCACGATTGTTGGGTTCAGAGACTTTGCCAGCCTGAGAGCAGTCTCCACCGCCGCTGAATTCTCGTCAAGCAAATTGTACAATTGAAGCATGAAGTTAACAGCCAGTACCTCGTCCTTCTCGACTCGGAAGCTCGACCCATTAAGCTCCTGAATTGGGGTGAGGATTGGCTCGAACTCGAAATTCAAATCTAGAAGCTTCGCGAAGTCACGGAGACGGTTGCCTGTAGCATACAGAGATGCTGCGGGAGATTTGCCCAGAGCTGGGGCTGGTATGCCTGAGATCCGGATTTGAGATGGTTTTCCAGTGGACCTAGTCGTCAGAGCTTGCAAAAGGGCAGCCCACTGAACCCCCTGAACAATCCCGAAATCCACTATGTGAATCTTGCTAGCTCGTTCTGTAGATTCGAGTATGGCTTGATTCGCTGTTAAATGAGCAAACTTTGAGTATGGACAGGCATCGTTAAGTGCTTTGTAACTGAGAGTGAAATCCTCCGCCGTTGTCTCGAGTATGGTTAGTCTTTTCTCTGCTTGGAAAGAGACTCTGCCGCAGAGTGCTTCAGTGAAGTAGAAAGCCACTCTCTCAGTTGGATCTCCGCATTCCGATACCGATTCCCGGATTCGAATCAGCGACTTCACCGCCCGTTCTCGTTCCGATTCCACAAGCCGCGCACAGTCAAGTAGCGCTCTGAATACCGGCGGTGCTGACTCGGTTTCCGGTGAACTAGAGGACGTCAGCACATCGACGTCGCTTTTGGGTAAGTTCTGAGCTGAAATATTGTTTGGTTTACTCTCTTTAACCGACACCTGCGGCGCCGGCAGCGGTGGTGGTGATGGGGCCCAAGCTGGAACCTGGGTTTGGGGTTGGAGAGTGTTAGCAGTCTTCTGAGTGTCTGGTGAGAAGATGACTCGGTTGAGATCCGACGGTTGAGAGCACGCCACGCTGATTCTAGCCGGACACGTAGTGAACGGATCGGCACCGTAGAGACCGAAATTGGCATTGTTCTGCCAGGCGTCGCAACCGGAAGCAAGATTAGAACTATCCGTTGAATCCCCACCGTTCATTAAACTATCCATCCACTCATCCGTGTCAAACTCACCACCAGCTCCACCCCCTAGGTTCGGAAACCGAAACCCACCGGACGGATGCTCCATGCCAGGAAACGGAAACCCCTCTCCAGTATCTCCTGGAAATGGGTCTGGAAAACTCGAACCCAGGAGCCCGTAAGCCAGATTAGGAGAAGGAGACACAGTTTGCTGGGTATTGGTCCAGGGATTCAGAGAAAACGAGGTGAGTCCAGGGAGTTGCTGTTGCTGGTGGTGGTGATGTTGCTGTTGCTGCTCCTGCTGTTGCTTTTGCTTTATGACTTGTTGAGCGATTGCCATTAGGTTCCCACTGTCTGCGCACATATATGCCATTCTCCGGCCAAGCTACGCCGGAAGCGAGAAACTGCACTCACATTATCCAAAAAATTAAAAAAAAAAAAAATCAGCAAGAAGAACAAATCCAGCGAACCCACAAATCAAATACAGTAAAGGGTGAAAATTTATAGCGATGAGAATGAGAAACAGGGTACGTACGAAGATTGGAGGCCCAAAAACACGGGGATTACAAGCTACGCGACTTGGATTTTGCTGAAGCTAGAGAGAGAAAATGAAGAATGGCTTTTAAAGAACGAAAGCTATACAACAGAATGAGGCCCTGCAAATGAAAAAATCGGGTCCCGCTTTTCTTCGTCATATCAAGTAACGACGAATTAAATATTATAAAAAAATCTGAAAATAAAGAGAAATGGAAAGCGTGACGTGGAAATTTCTCGAAAACTTCGAGGTGACAGAAACCCTAATATACAATTGAAAAACTGATTCATAGGTAATTTAATTGTTTAATTTTTTTATATAGTTTTATATTACATTATTTAGTAAGAAAATGATACATACTAATTTTAAAGTTAAAAAAATAAAATTTTAATTAAATTATACTTTATATAATAATAAATTTTTAATTTTTTATATTTACAATGTTATATATAATTATTTAATAATATATAAAAATTATATAAAATAGTAAAAATTTATATAAAAAATTACAATATATATCATTGCAGATCTACAACTCCAGTCGCGGCTTCGAGCGATTGAGTCTCTGTGTGGTTGTGCAAAACGTGGCGGTCATACCGAAGTGGGACCTTTACGGTGTATGCATCCTAGTCACTAGCGTCCACGTGTACTACAATTCGTTCCCGCTCTGCTCGGGGGGACCTTAGTGGGGACCAACCTGCACTCGTCGCGACACGTCAACATTTAGACGGGGAGTCGGTGTCAGCGATCGATGACGTCATCCACTGTGATCTTCTCGGGAACTTCACGCGACTCTTCACCGTCCGTATTTAGATCTTGCAGTGCCGTATACCGTTGAGAGGAATACTAGGCTAAGCACATTCCTAGTAAAACCCATACTACAAACTTCCAATAACGGGATACCACGTGTTCGTTTAAGGACAGGTGTCATTATCTGGGTCCACTGGGAGATAAGCAAAATGTACAGTAAAAAGTAAAAATGATTTTTTTTTCCTGTATTTTTTTAAAAATATGAGTATTTATTATATTTTTTATTATTAATTTATAAAAAATAATCTCAACTTAAAAAAATTAAAATTTTAATATTAAATTATATCATTTTATTTATTTAAAATTTAAAAATTTATTGTATTAATTATTGATACTTAGATTTATTTATTTATTTATTTATTTTTTGACCAGATAGATGGTTAGGAAGTTAGTAGAGTTAGTTTGTTAGCAGCTGGAATTTTTTCAGGAAAGTGAACGTTCCATCCCCTCATTTGAGGGGCGCGACCATTAGGTCACAAGTTAGTGGAGTTTACGGCGGTGGCAGAGCTCGAAGCCATGATCTCCGCCTCACCCAAACCCTAAAGCTTGGGGGCCAACCAATTGGGCCACAGGCTCGGTTGGCTTGATACTTAGATTTATAAATTAATTGAATTTTAAATTTTAAATTGATATTTTAATTTTTAAATATAAATTAAAATTTTAATTTTCTTAAAGATCAAAGTTGATATACATTATAACTTTAATTTTATTAATTATTTAGTTAAAATATTTTACATAATTTTAATATTAAAAATAAATTTAATATTTTTTTATATAAATTAATTAAAGAAATATAATAATTAAGATACAGATATTAAAAAAAAAAACCTCAAAGTAAAAAGTCCGAGATAAAAAGGGAAGATAAAAAGGTGAAAAGTGGGGTCGTTTACTCTTTCTTGATAAAGTGGAGGACTAAAGCCAATTAGGCCCGTTCTTTTTGGGAGGTGAAGGGGCCCACAAGGGACTGCATGGGACCTGAACGCTAGGGACTAATGAGGAAAATGGGGTACAACAAGACAATCTTGGACCAACTGAAACGCAATAGCCCCAAAAAGCAACGGCACAGCTCATTTTGACGGGGGGGCATGCAATTTAATGGGCTGAGATCGAAAGCAACGGATCCTTGGAATAGACTGCGGCTTGGTGCGGTGGTGTCGCCACCATTTGTACCCCCTTCCCAGTCAACCCACAACGTCTATATTTGACATTTTACATCCCATCTCTTCCCCTTCTTTCTATGCTTTTGCATCTTTTGAGCTGTTCTTTTTTTTCTTTATTTTTTGGACAGACTATAATTTGAAGATGCAGATGTTCCAACCCTATCCCTAAAATTAAAAGTGTATCTTATAAAGAAACATATAATTATTAAACTACAAAATTTTGATGTTTTGAGTTGTTCTTTTGATTTGTTCTTTTTTTTTTTTTTATAGGAGAAATGATTAAAAATTAAAAGTTAAAAATTAAATTAGTACTTTATTTTTAGTAAAATTTGACCACTAATTAAAGGTGTAATTCACCGATAACCTTATTGAGTTGCAGTAACCACAAATTTAGTACAACAAAAGAATACTTTGATTTGATCAACCATGATGCAATTGATAATCACATATTGTCTCTTGTACGAGTAAATCAGAGATAGTAAATGAGTTTGGTGGAGCTAAGAATTGATATAATTAAAAAGTAGGAAAGAGAAATGTAGAGTGAAAAACAAAATTACAAGGGTTTTTTTTTTTTTTTTTTTTTTTGGTTGTTTAGCATCTCTAACATCTATCAAAAATTGTCTAATATTCTCCTTAGGAACAGAACAGTTAATCTACTTAAGTTTATGATTTAAATAGTTAAGCACAAAAATAATTAAAGCAAGCCCAATTGGTCCACCACCTCTCCATCTTATCCAAACACCATATACACATACAATTTTTTCTTTTGGCCAACCATATACATATTAATTGAGGAAATAGCTTTACTCTTATCTCTTTTTAAATCGTTTCTAAAGCATAGTTATCAAAATTTTAACGCTCTAATTCATCTCCCTCTTGCTGCTGCACCTATATGACAACAGTGAGCTGTCCATATATAATTGTCTAGTTTGATTCATTACAAAAATTATTATTTTAAAGTTTTGATATTTAATTTTATTTATTTATTTATTTATTATTATTATTATTATTATTTTACATTGCTGGCGCCTCTTCAAAAGTTTTTACAATAATACTAAAAAGTCATTTAACTTAATTAATATTTAAAAAAAAAAATCAACTTCAATTGAAAAGGAAAGCTTCAAAATAAATCCGACATAAAAAACAAATTCCATATCAGACAATCTCGTTAAAATTGTTTACATTCCATGCTCTTCCCAGGTATTTTCCTCGCCATTGTTGTTATAAAAATTGATGGATCTTAACGATAGAATGTGATGGATGGACCGCATTATTGTATCATTACGATATAATTATACTAAAACAGCGACGTTTCCATGTAAGCCGTAAGTCTACTGATTTTTTATTTCTGTGATGAAGCTAACTCATGAGATGGTAGTAATTTATTTGTCCCACTAGTGATTCCGACTTACTACCAATTTGGACCACCAAATCTACATCACAGTTAATTAGGTAATGACTCTACGATCTCTTCCTAACGATAATTGTAAACTAGACCATTACATTTAAATGTTGTTGCTTTCATCTACTTGCCTCTTGGAAAAGGTGGCCAAAATTATTAGATTAGTAGTTAATCTGTTGAGACAGTTCAAAAATAAACTGCAATGGGTAATTTTTTAAGATAATTTTTTGTTTGTATTAATTACGTCAACCACATTTTTTTTAATTTAGCAGTTAAGGTATCTCCATATTAGTTTACATATATATCAAAACTAATTTATTTTTAATTTAATCAAAAGTAAGTCATCTACATTATAATTAAAGAATTCATAAAAAATTATTTCTTAATGAGTCTTTCTAATGAATCAAATCTTAATAAATAAGATAAAAAATAAATTTTATTATTAATTAAATCACAACTCTTTGACTCAACACGGATTTCATTTTGTGTATATACTTTTTTCTTAAAATTTCAACTTGAAACCTTTAACTAATCAAGTATCTCCACTTTGATACGGTAACAAATAACATGATTTTGTATCTACTCCGCAGAGGTTGCAATCATTTATTGTACTACTGATGAATAGGATGCAAAAGTAGTGGTTGATTCGATAAGGTCACAACTTAAATGGATGATTTACTAACTTATCAGGCCATTTATATAATTTTTAGCAAGATAAGACTCGGATTTGCACTATAAATAAATCTCACTTTACAACTGGAAGGATGGAAAGATACATTTCCTTGACTAGCTGCGGTTTCCAGCCTTTCTTTTTGTGCTTTTCCCCGTCAGATCGGGCACGCTGTAATTTGAAAAATGCACCCATATTTTATTATAAATACATATATATATCGGAAAAAAGGGAGAGCAGATGCGAAGTGCCTTTATCTTTAGCAACGTTTATTCTTAAGACGATTCAAAGGTGGGATTTTCAGTCAAACGTACAATTAAGTGTTGTCTTGATCAGTATGCTATGTTCGGTGGAATCACTAGTTTCAGTAGTAGACTACGAGCAGCAATGCAAGTGGGTTTCTGAATTGAATGCCTCCCTAGCTGGACTATGGATGGCTAGAGAATATAGTTTTTCTTGGTAGTGGGAGAAACTGCTTTTCACTAATCAAACCTCCTACTCATTAGGCTCCCCTCTTTTCCTCCAACAGCCTATGGGAGTATTGCGAATGTGACCTTAAATTTTAATATCCACACATAAACATGTAAGGACTATTATGTAGTCGTCGTGACGAGGATTAGTATTATGATTATAGAAAGCAAAAAGTACCCACTTGGAGTAGATATGACCAATCCTTGTCTACTCGTATGCTACAACCATCAAAGAACTCGAGACTTTTTATATGTAAACTGTTTCATGCAGGCACCTAGTCAGTCCAGTGAGTTGTGATCCAACATTAGAGTTGCAATCACTGCACCATAGTGAATGGGTTCATATTCCCTTACCCCAATTATAGAAAAAAGGTGATAAAGGAAAAATATAACAAATGTAAAAATATTATAATTACAATGTGATATAATATTGTAAATATATAATATGATATATTGTTATAGGTTAAATATCTAATTTGGTCTTTCTACTTTGATAAAAAAATCTCTTTTTAATCTTTCTACTTAAAAAAGTTCATTTTTCATTCTGATCCATTTTTAATCCCTCAATTAAGTTTTGTATACATTGCACATTAGATAACAAAAATTTTAAATTAAAGGGACCAAAAAGTCTTATTTTTATTTTTATTTATTTATATAAATAACTTTTTTTATTTAAAAATTTACATGTAATATTGTATATATTCACTTTTTTAATACCAAATTATATTCTTTTAATGTTACATCATGATTGTAAAGTTACAATCTTACTTAATATTATGACTGACATTGTTGTAACAAAAAAGTATAAAAAAATGTTATACAATTCATATTACACAATTTAAATCATTGAATGAGGATAAGTTCCCTCATATTAGAGTTGTTCCTCCATCTAAAGATTCTAATTCGGATTACACAACTTAAATTATTTTATGAGAAGATAATCTATAATTTTGCAATCCAAACAAATCAAAGCGCTCAAAATATAAAATCCTCGTTCACATAACCCCTTAACAAACATATAACTGTTTCTAATAGTTGACAGTAATCAGGATTTATCGCCAGACTTGCATACCGTTAAAAACAGAGCGAGAGCGAAACCAAGAACATAAAATTGCCTTTAACCAAAAGAAGAGAGTGACATTCAAAAGCCGCAGGTCAATACTAAGACATTGTGAGAACAAAATGTTATTTGTATAAACGGTTCTACTAATCTGCACTCTTATTACTTAACAAGGTGGGCAAATACAAAATTCAGACTCAGATTGCAGTCTGCAGTCTGCAGAAGCGCTTTCAAAAACAAAGTACAACATTAAAAGATTGGTGACTGCAGCAAACGTTTGCCAAAGTGATGTATCTACAAATAATTTATTGCAAACTTCTCTACTTTTCTTATTGTGAGCACTCGTTGCATCCTTGTCAACATTGGCAAGATGCCATGATACAATTTTTAATGAGGGCATGCATTAGTAAACACGAGCTTTAGGCGGGAATGTTTCTACCTCATTGTCTAATGTGTTCATGTGAACTGGGCGGTAATCCAGTCTCACCTTTTCATTCTCCCAGTATCTGCAAATCACAGAGAACAAGAATCCTCCATTAGGACAAATAAGTTTGAGTATAACCTAACCATTGACATTCTCAGACTAGTTTACGGTTCAAGAATGTGCAGGTTTACCCTCAATTTAGTAATTTAATTAGACAATTAAAATTATCCTTGCATTCTGGATCCACATTTCAATAGAAATATATATCGGATAACAACAAGGATATCTTTTGATTTAACGAACTGGAATATCACATAGAAACCCTAAGCATAATGCTTATGATTAGGTTACCCTTAGAATATGTTTATGTTCTACATAAAATTGAGGAAAGGTAGGCTTACCCCAAAGTGTGTTTAATCCAGTTCCCATCATCCCTTTTCTGCAGAACCAAAGCAAAGCCACTTTATTAACCGAGAATAAGCACATGGTATATAATAGTAATGTAAGAAAAGCCAAAACAAACCGTGAAATCTTCACGAGCATGTGCTCCTCTACTTTCTTTCCTGGCTTCAGCTGAGTGCATGGTGACGCAAGCATTTATTAGAAGATTTTCCAACTCTATTGTCTCTATCAAATCAGAATTCCTGCCAAAAGACATTCAATATCAAGTCCATGAATAATTGATATCTTACATGAAATATTCAATGGTTAACATTCTTGTGCAGGAATCCTTACCATATCAAACTTCGGTCCTTCACTTTAACATCATGAAAACTCTCCCATGCCTTATCAATTAATTGACAACCTGAAGAAATGTGGAAGATGAACAGGTAAATCACAAGTGAAGGTTACATGATAACCATATGACAGAAGCATCAGTCATAACCAGGTAAACAAAATTTTTTTTTTTTTTTGGGTACATGGTAAACAATTTACCAAGCAACATATATCTGAACTAATTACTTTATCTGCATGGGAAAACATGAAGAGTGAAATACACAGAATATGGAAGATTTTAGCCAACTATTCCAGAGAAAGAATGAAAGAAAAGAAAATCAATGATGAAACATCACAAACCTTCTTCCAATGTTTCTTGTGTACGGAAAACAGCAGCATTATTTTGCATAACTCGTTGCATATTCAACCGAATTTTTGAAGTTGGAAGTGAGCCATTTGAATTTCTAAGTTTATCTAGCCAGGCAATTGTCTTCTCGCCAGCATCTTTTTCCAATGGTTTCTGTTTTTGCCCTGCAAAATAAATGTATATGAATATATTTTAAGCACAGAAAAACCATCACTGTGTATCCACATTTAATAAAACATTCAACTTGCCTGGTCTCTGGATTTCTGCAACCCTATTTGCACAGGCTCGACCAAAAACAACAATATCAAGAAGAGAGTTTGCACCCAAGCGATTGGCACCGTGAACTGAAGCACAGGCTGCCTCTCCGGCAGCCATTAATCCAGGAACTACAGCATCTGGATCAGAATCTCTAATTGTAACTACCTGAGAAACCAAACAGCACACTGAGAAAATTGATAAAGAACCACATTTTAGGTCTCATATATCTAAAATTGATTACATATTATCGCACCTCTCCATGATGATTGGTGGGAATACCACCCATATTGTAATGCACTGTAGGCAATACAGGGATAGGTTCCTTTGTAACATCAACACCAGCAAATATGGCAGCAGTCTCTGAGATACCAGGAAGCCTTTCCTTCAGCACTTCAGGAGGTAAGTGATTCAAGTGAAGATAAATATGATCCTTCAAAGGACCTGTTGGATAAAAAAAAAAATTTACATTCAAAGTTAACAGGGAATAGAAGTGCAGAGCAAGAGAGAGAGAGAGAGAGAGAGAGAGAGAGAGAGAGAAGGAATAGTATCAGCCAATTGATTTGGTAATTAGTCTCCAAATTCTGAAGGCCTAAGAAAGTTATTCGTTAAATTGTTATTTTGCAAGTGATTACGATTTTCCTCCAGAAGGCATAAACAAATATTGGGAAATGGACATCTCTAAACTCTGTATAACTAGGACTAGGAATCATATAAACTGCAGGCAAACCAGAGATGAAATTCAATTTTCTAATCCAGCCCACTGGTTAAAGTTCAACTCATTACTCCGAAGTCCAAACGTATATGGCAACTTCATATTCTGGTAGTTTATCATACCTACGCCACGCCCTTCTCTGATTTCCATGGTCATAGATCTAGACACAACATCTCTTGAAGCAAGGTCCTTGGCAGTGGGGGCATACCGTTCCATAAAGCGTTCACCTTCACTGTTTCTAAGAATACCACCTTCGCCACGAGATCCTACATATCATTACAGATGAAATTATAAACAAACTTACTCAACTTGAATAAAATAAAAGCTTTGCAAAATTAAATGTAAAAAAATAACTAAAGGAATTCTCAATAGCAACCAAAAATCAAGCTAAGACTGTATTCATCCTAAAACTTGAAGTACTATAACCTTCAGTAATGAGGCACCCAGCCCCATATATGCCAGTTGGGTGAAATTGCACGAACTCCAAATCCTACAAGAAGAGCAAATGAGAATGAAAATAACATATCAAGGATAAAAACAGGCAGCCCTAAAATCCAACTTGAAGCAGCAGGGCAGACCTGGAGGGGGAGGCCTGCTCGTGCAACCATGGCATTGCCATCTCCAGTGCATGTGTGAGCTGAGGTTGCAGAAAAGTAGGCTCTACCATATCCCTGAATGAAAAGCACATGAACGATAGTGTTTTTGTTACTTAATTAGAATGGGGCAAACTTACAAAGAAGATATAGTACCCCTGTGGCAAGAATTGTTGAAGCAGCTTGGAACCGATGCAATGTCCCATCTTCCATATTCAATGCAATCACTCCCTGGCAGGTACCTGTATACAAAACATCAGTAATTAATCAAACTACTAGGATAATTGGGCAGGAGGCCGATGTAGCTAAAGTTTAGCAGGAAACAATGAGAAACAATGTTATAATCAAGTAGCAGAAAGCTGTTCAAATGTTGCTCTCAACCAGTAAATGAACTATACTTTACTTGCATTGCTTCTAGAAAATGAAATCTCCTTGAACCATCTAGCCATAACAACCTAACCCCTCAATAAGAAAAGATTAAAAATGGAAAACTAATATCGTTTGCCTTAACCTACCATCACTGTTCATTATCAGATCCAAAGCAAAATATTCCACAAAGAATTGAGTATTGTGTTTCATAGCTTGGCCATAGAGTGTGTGCAATAGAGCATGTCCAGTTCGATCAGCAGCACAGGCACAGCGGTATGCCTGTCCACCTATTAGAATAGCAATAATTAGGAAGCAAAGATCAGAGAGCCATCCAGTAGTCATGCACCTTCATAATCAAACTTGCAAATTCTTACCTTTCCCAAAATCAAGGCTTTGACCACCAAAAGCGCGTTGATAGATTTTCCCATCTTCTGTTCGAGAAAATGGTAACCCATAATTCTCAAGCTCAATCACAGCTTTTGGTGCTTCCCTGCACATATATTGAATGGCATCCTGATCACCTACAAAAATACACCCCTGCTTGTCACTTAGCCCAAAAAGAAAAGTATCAAGTATGGCTAAAAATCACAGCATGAAGGCATAAATAGATGTCTAGAATGAAGCCTTAGGCCATTATAGAACCCACATTGTACAGTTAGATTGTATCACTTGATAGAACAAATATGATAAAAATGTGAATTCCAAAAAACTAATTACCTAACCAATCACTTCCTTTAACTGTGTCATACATGTGCCACCGCCAGTCATCTTCAGTCATATTACCCAATGCAGCATTTATACCACCCTGCAAGCAATTTCCCCCTCATGGTCAACAAATTATCAAATAAATAATCTACATTTGCTGAGAAAAAATTGAAACTTGAGGTGTTCTTTATTTCTTTTTTTTTGGAAGGTAATACAATATATGGTAATCCATTATATATATACTATATTGCTGGATTACTACAAATAGTATTAGTAGTAAAAAATAAAAGAAATGAAAAGGAAACCCAAAAACAAGAATGCTAATAAACGAGCCCTTTTCAGTACCTGAGCAGCAACAGTGTGTGAACGAGTTGGGAAAAGCTTAGTAATGCAAGCAGTATTGAATCCATGCTCTGAGAGACCTATGGCTGCTCTAAGCCCTGCACCTCCAGCACCAACCACAACTGCATCATATGTATGATCCACTATAGTGTATGATGATCGCCCCTGCAATTACGCATAAATTTAATACCAGATGCCTTTTCAGTTCTATCTTTTCTAGTTTTTGACAAAATCAATTTTACCAACCATAAATGACAACACAACAGAACAATAAATGATTGAAGAAACAACATTTCCAGTACATTACATGATCTAATTAGGACGGTACTATTCAGTTCAACACTTCGGTACTCTTTGCTAGTTTTGCTTTGTATGTCAACTTGGCATAGCTAGATGTACGGTGGTAACAACTAAGACAGATATACAGCCAACTAAAAATAATAAAAAACTAAGAATTTCGTATTTTTCTCCCTTGTGCTGTATATTTCTCAGCAGCCAAACAGGATTTGAAGGAAATCATAAAAAGTAAAAAAAATCAATCAGAATATGTACAAATCATCAAGATGACATAAAATCCATGAAAATAAGCTCTAAAAAATCTACAGATTGAGGGAAGAAGAAGAAAACATACAGAATCGGTGGATAAGAATCTGGATATCTGAGATCTGAGAGTGTCATTGGAAATCCATCTCTTGGAACACGACGGAGCTCGAAGGCTTCGAGAGACGCAGCGCCACATCCTCTCTCTCTCTCGGCTTATCTATGCGCCTAGCTTTTGCTGAAAAGGTGGAGGAGCTATCTGCTTACTTTCCGAGCACTGAGGCGCGTGTGCTACTTCGAACCTAGGAATTTGTTTTTGGAGCAGATGAGGGAACTGGGAAAGTTGATTTTAAGGGAAGAAGCTGGAAAACGGTTTTATATGAATGCTGAATTGCTGATGCATGTGATTTAATATTCTACTAATTTTGCCTTGGTTTCTGAAGATAAATACTAAAATGCCAACATTCCAAGCCAATTTATTTAATCATTTTCACCTAATTACCAAAGGGACGCGTTTGATTCGGATAAAAAAGAGAAAAAAGGGGTAGGTGGGTTTGGAAAAGTATTTTTTCACAAAAGTATACTGCAACTTTTCAAAAAAAAAAAATAATAATAAAACACATTGTCATGGATAATACAGCAATCACAAGTCATTGAATTTAAATAATTTATTTAATAATATATAAAAATTATATAAAAAA